ACAAGCTGGATATTTATCTGGGAGGAAGAATGGTGTCTACACAGATGGATATCTCCATGTCTGTGCAGTCTGAAGCCTTTGCATCAGAATTTTAATATGTTTTGCCCTAGTTTTGCACATTTCAGCACTCATCTGGTAGTTAACAAATTTGACTACTAAACTCCAGGAAGCAGGATGGTTTTGTCCATATATATGATGTGGACAACAAATTTATATTGCAAAACTGCATATATCTCCTGGGGGTGGGTGGGTGGCATGGATAAAATGATCCCCTGAATTAATTCTCAGAAAAATGCATGTACAATTTAATTCTTAGGGTGTTGAAGGAGTTTATATGTGTTTGTGGAAATAGTGAAAGAGGAAAGGCTTTGGGCTAAGGCATTTCCTACATAGGTATGTATTAGAGTAGGAGAATAATTATGGTTAAAAAGTATTGATATTGAAGCAATATATTCCTTCTATTAAGAAAGAAGTGGGATTGTTACATTGTTTGGCACCTAAAAATGAAATAAAGCAACTCTCGTTTGCTTTTGCTGCAACAAATATGCTAGTTCGTAAAGGTCTAGCACATTTATTATAGTATAATCTTTTGTGCACTTGAGTCCCTGTTGTGATGAAGTAGATTCTGGTCTATAAAAGCTAATACCACAATACATTTCTTAGGTTTTAAAGGTGCTCTAAGACTTTGTTAGACTACCTGTCTGTAACTGTTTAACTTAAATACAAAATAAGTCTTTTTATATATTTAAAAAACCACAGTAAAAATGATTATATGACATGTATCATTTTTTCTGGAGTAAAAGAAGTAATTTTTCTTACATTTGAGAAGCACACTTCAGCGCTTCCACATATAGAGTTATCTAACAATGACTCTAGGCTTCAAATAGCCAATCATGTTTTGACTTATTTGCCTATCTATTGAGGTGATAGGTTTTCAAAGTGTACTCTCTTCCATATTTTTAATTATATCTTGCCAATTCTTAAAGTCAAACTGGAAGTAAAACTCGCTAGTTTTCTATTGACCAAGCACAGAAGGAAAAGAAACTGAGGTGTATGGAAGTGTTTGGATTCCTTTGATGTTTTCATTATTATTGACAAGTTTTGACCTTTCCATGCCTTTCAACATTCAAGTATTAATGTTGTTACTTATATAACCAAAGCAGCATCAGCTACTCAGCCACTGCTACATACACACACAAACACAAAAAGAACGTGTCAGCATAGTAGGGTACCTGGAGGCTTGCAAAAGTGCTCCCTCTCCCTTCCTTTCCCCTTCTCACTCTTTGTGAGAAACAAACATACTGAATGTGTATGAAGGTCACAGAATGGAGACTAACTGATGGAAGGGCAGTGGAAAATGGTTGAGAAGTAGAATGGGATGGAGTACTGTGAAGAAAGATGTGGCTGACTGGCTGGAACAATCAGGTCATTCCATGCTGCAACATTTTGTTGTGGGTCTCATTTGTGGTTCTAGATAGGGAATTCATTTACAGTGGTGCCCCGCATAGCAACGTTAATCCGTTCCGGATTAATCGTCGCTATCTGGAAACAACACAATGCGGGGGGAAACCCCATAGAAACGCATTAAACTTTGTTTAATGCGTTCCTATGGGGCGAAAACTCACCGTTATGCAAGATCCTCCATAGCGCCGCCATTTTCGCCGCCTCGGTAAGCGAGGAAATCGCGCGAAAATGGTTGCGGTGGCCATTTTGGGCACCCGGCGGCCATTTTGGAACCGCCGATCAGCTGTTCCACAAATATCGCAATGCGAAGATCAGTAAGCGAAACGCTTACTGATCATCGCAATGCGATGTTTAGGCTATTAAAACATCGCAATGCGATCGCATTAGCAATCCCAAAAAATAGATCACTATGCGGATTCGTCGTTAAACGGTGCGCTCGTTATGCGAGGCACCACTGTAATTGAGTGCCAGTTCTTAGGTAGTCAAAATAGCACACTTCAGGCACAAGAGGGAGCTATTGTAGACTTTGAGAAATTCCCAAGGTTTGCACCAGTGTGAATAACTGTTACTGGGGGGGAAATGCCCTTAAGAGGGAAACCCCAAATTACCCATTGAGGACTGAGTGTGCTCAATGGCAGTAGAATGCTAGCTGAGTATTGAGAAGGAACCCTCTTTGAGACCAGATGAAAGGATGTCTGGACTCTCGAGTATTCTGGGTAATGGAATGGGTGTCTGTTGCCCTGAACAGGAGCATTTTATTCTACAAGATTTTGTTGCAGGCCTCACTTGTATCCATGATAGTCTTTTGTAAATGGCAGTGATTGATTGTTGTTAAAATGTTATTTCTTTCCAGAATGAAACATGGCTGAGGACCCTCAGAGAAATTTCCGATCAGTGTACTATGAGAAAGTAGGATTTCGTGGTGTTGAAGAAAAAAAGTCATTAGAAATCCTTCTGAAGGATGATCGGCTGGGTATGATTAGTGGAGCTGCTTGTAAAATGGCCATCTCTTTTGGCCCACTCTGTATAACCTAAGGCTGTACATCTCTGCACACCTATTTGGGAGAAAGTTTGATAGCGAATCCAGTGTAGTTTACTTCTAAGGATTTTTGCTTTCTTTCTAGGCTGGCTTAGGCTTTCATCTGCAGACCGTGAAAGTAGCCTATTGTTAAAAAAGAGTCTTGGGTTCCCACATCCCTTATCACCTTCTCAGATAAAATGTTTTTATGTGAACTGAAACACATGTCTCACCTATGAGGTATGCTCACTTCTCCTTTAGGACAGAAGAAAATGTGGGTATATATTAATGAATGCATGTACATGTTGGTTCACACAACATTTTTGACAGTTCCACACTTCAGGAGATGTAGAGCATGCACCAAAGGTGTTTCATGACACTCCTTTCTGGTCTGTTTCTGAAAAGCTGGAAATAATTGTAGAAAAAGCAGTTTTATGCTGGGGTTGCTCATCTCCTTTATTTGCCCCTTAAAGTTTTAACTCAGGAAGGAGGGAATGTGTAGTCCTGTTCTGGATTAGGCCATGATCTCTCAGCATGCAACTATGCTGTCCTGATTGGGTGTGCGCTTCAACAAACCCAGACATCACATTCTCCTCACTCTTGTTTTAACCAGTATCCTCTGCTAGTGGTATTAATGTTTCTTTGTGTAGATATAAATCAATTAAAATAGTTTAATTGGTTGAATACTGTATAGTATAAATTCTCTTATATCAAACCTGCAAGTACATTTTATAAAGCAGTCATAAATGAGAGGAGGAAGAATAGTAATTTGAAATGAGTTTTACTAAATGCGAAAAACTGAAATTCTTATTTTCTAAGGCTATTGTCTTAGAACATATCTGCAAAAGATATCATAGGACAGAAGCCAAGTGTCACTTTTGAAAAGGAGGTGCTTCATAATGCTCTTCAAGTTTAAAAATAGTATTTGTTTTTCTATCTTTATTCACAGATATTGAAAAGCTTTGCACGTTTAGTCAAAGGTTCCCTCTCCCATCCATGTATAGGACCCTGGTGTGGAAGGTGCTTCTAGGTATGCTAATATATGAAAATCATATTCTTGATTATAAATAATATAAGTAGTTTTAGAAATGTAATTATTATTGCAGGATCCTAAAAAGAAGGTGATATGAGATTATTGGAAGTAAACGCAGGCTTAATTTGGAAGTCTGATTGCCTGGACTTGTACCTCCTGAGGAAATCACATGTGGGAGAATGAATGGCTCATCAACGTAAAGGTTCTTGGGAAACAGGACTGAGAAAACATCCGCTTGAAACATTAAGAGAACCACTGCCAGTCAGCAGAGACAATAATGGTTGAAGAGATGGTGTGATGTTTTAGTTTGCTAAAGCTGTCAACAACAACAAAGAACAACAGTTAGGCATCCTTCAATCTTGAGAGACTACAACAATAGTTAGGTATCCTTCAATCTTGAGAGACTATGGTAACGTGCTCTGTCTTGGAACAGCTAGAATTAGAAGGCTAAGTCGAGAGTGACACTGAAGACAAATACAATCTGTCCCCTGTTCATCTCCCTGAATTTGCTGGTTTCGGGACTGCCTCTTTGCCTCGGCCTGCTGAACAAGGGTCTCTTCAAATTGGGAGAGGCCATGATGCACCACCTGCCTCCAGGCTGAACGCTCAGATGTCAAGGTTTCCCATCTGTTGAGGTCCATTCCTAAGGCCTTCAGATCCCGTTTGCAGATATCCTTGTATTGCAGCTGTGGTCTCCCTCTGGGGTGATTTCCCTGCACTAATTCTCCATACAGGAGATCTTTTGGATTCCGACCATCAGCCATTCTCACAACATGCCCAAGCTAATGTAGATGTTGCTGTTTCAGTAATGTATGCATGCTAAAAATTCCAGCTCGTTCTAGGAGTACTTTATTTGGAACTTTGTCCTGCCAGGTGATACCAAAAATGCGTCAAAGACAGTGTATACGGAAGGTGTTCAGCTTCCTCTCCTGCCATGCACGTAGGGTCCAGGACTCACTGCAGTACAGGATTGTGCTCAGGACACAGGCTCTGTAGACTTGGATCTTGGTATAAGCTGTCAGCTTCTTATTGAGCAATACCCTCTTTGTGAGTCTAGAGAACATGGCTGCTGCTTTGCCAATGCGTCTATCCAGCTCAACATTTAAGGAGAGAGTGTTAGAGAACGTTGAGCCAAGGTACACAAAGTCATGAACAACCTCCAATTCTTGTGTGGAGATGGTAATAGAGGGAGGTGAGTCCATGCCCTGGCCCATGACTTGTGTTTTCTTCAGGCTGATAGTTAGTCCAAAGTCTTGGCAGGCCTTGCTAAAATGATTCATGAGTTGTTGGAGGTCTTCAGCAAAGTGGGCAACAATGGCTGCATCATCGGCGAAGAGGAGGTCCCGCATGCATTTCAGTTGGACTCTGGTCTTTGCTCTCAATCTAGAGAGATTAAAGAGCTTTCCATCCGAACTAGTCCGGAGATAGACACCTTCTGTTGCAGTTCCAAAGGCCTGCTTCAGCATGACAGCAAAAAAGATACAGCTGAATCAGAGAGCAAGGGCAGATCCTGGAATTCACAAAGCCACATGCCTCAGGGATGTGGTGCAAGTTCATAGAACTTTGATACTGTATAGTTATGTAGTTAAGATTATATATTAGATAGTGTATTATGGTAATCACTTCAAATTAGAAAGACTTTTGCTAAGTTTAATACTAGAAGTTTTGATCTGAAATATATATGTGTATAAATACATATATATATATACAGAGTGGAGAATATAATATGGTTTAAAGATTTTAGTAGGGTAATATGGTTATGTATTCAAGACTATATTTATTTATTTATTTATTTACCTTATATGCCACCCACTCTATATATTAGATATGGTTGTAGGGAAAACACCTCCCTGCGTGTATGTTTGGTATGCCTTGTATGTTTGTGATATAATAAAATTAAAAAAAAATACATTCAGCAGCCCAATAGGTGAGCTTAAATCTCCTTCTCTGTTCATTTTCCCTGGTTGTTCTTTTTTTTTTCCTTAAAAAGGCATTCTTCCTCCACACCATGAATCTCATGCCTTTGTGATGAATTACCGGAAGGAGCAGTATAAGGATGTGCACCATGCTCTCCGAGTCATTCGCTTTGTCAACGATTCTACCCCTCAAGTGGAAGTTTTCCTTCGGATCTATCAGCTGGAGTCAGGAAAGCTGCCTCGAAATCCATCTTCCCCTCTGGTCAGTCGGGTTTAATTCAGCTCTCAGAAAAAATATGCTTTTATAGATCTAAGTTGTTTCCATCTGAAACTGTACTAAAATGTGAAAGCAGCAAAGTGAGGTAGCAGATTTGCTGTGGCCTCAGAGTCCAAGCCAAGGCAGGAGAAGGGCTCAAATATTCCACCCAATATTTGTTTTTGTCTTCTAACAATGTCTTTTGCCCTTCTATTTTGTGGCAAGTGCTGCATAGCAGTCCAGTTTGCCCTGCATAGCCTACCCGTGGCTAGCAAAGAGAGGCATTGTAGCCACAGGAATAAACAGGACTGTGATCCCTAGAAAATGCAGAAGGCTGCTGTGCTTTGTAGGAGAACAGCCAGCCTGTGTGGTCTTGGGCAAGCTGCAGAGTTGCAGCGTGTCACCAGAAGGAGGGAATGGTAAACCACTTCTGAGTATTCTCTACCTAGAAAACTGTGAGAAGGGTCGCATAAGAATGTAAGAAGAGCCCTGCTGGATCAGGCCAAGGGTCCATCTAGTCCTGCTTTCTGTATCTCACAGTGGCCCCACCAGATGCCTCTGGGAGCACACGAGACAACTAGAGACCTGTCTCCTGGTCCCCCTCCCCTGCATTTGGAGGTACCTTCCTTTTAAGCCTGGAGATTATACATCCCCAGGCATGTAACCTGCGATGGACATTTTCCTCCAGGAATCTGTCCAGTCCTCTTTTAAAGGCATCTAGGCCATGTGCCATCACCACATCCTGTGGCAAGGAGTTACATAGGTTGTAATTGACTAGATGGCACACTGTTAATTAGAATGCTGCTGCCTGTTGGCGAGTCCTTTTTTGTAAGTGAAGGATAATAAACTGGCAATGGAAAAGAAGCAGAGTAGCACTGCATTCCTGGATAATAGTGGAAGCCACCATGCTGCCATTGGAAGGAATGACCAGATGACACAGAGACTCTGGATGTAAAGAGAGAGCATCATCAACTGCTTTCTCAGTGTCTAAAAATGTGTTAAAGTCACATCTATTGGCAGCACATCGCCCACACCATATGTATTGTACTTCCTCCATTTGTTTCAGGGAGGCTTCTTCAAAACACCAGTGTGATCACCTCACACCCTCATTAAAAGAAATGGCAGAGTTAAAACAAACTGCTGCAATGTATTTAATTTTTGCAGTATTGTATTAATATCTGACCTTTATGGAATGCACAGGGTTGTGTCAGAAGGGCAGAAACGCACAGGTACAAGTCATCGTGATGTCCTTAATCTGGCTGGCAAGCTTTTCTCTTGTGAAAGCTGTGGAATGTGCACGCTGGAAGGCCCGCAGTACAGAGAAATGCAAGAGTGGCATCAAACAGAGGCGTTGAGTGCAGTGGGATGCTCCTGGCATCCTGAGTTTTATGTCCCTCCCTCCAAGAGCTTGGAGCACTTTCAGGAAAGCATGCCCATCTGCAGGGGGGCCTTAGAACCCTTCCTGCCTTCCTCCATACTCATCTGTTCCGTTGGTTCTTTCCATTCTCCAGCATATAGGATTTTTTGTTTCTGTCCATTCTTCACACACCCCTGCCCCCCACACAAAGCAGGACATGCCTTAAAGCAGGGGTCTCAGATATGCAGCCCGGGGGCCATTTGTGCCCCCCCAGATGATAGTTTGTGGCCCTCGCCTTACCTGCCCCCCCAAAGCGCCCACACATCTTCTGCTGTTAAGAGTAAAAGAAAGCCTTGCCTCGCTCGCTGGCTCTCTCCCAAGACAGCACCTCTTGCCCCCTCCATCCAGAACTGCAGCCTGCCAGCCAGCCTACCTGTCTGTCAGCTAAGGAAACTCCTGCACGGCTTCCTCGGGCTCTTGCTCCGCTTGGCGGAAAATCTGATGCGGCCCAGCCTCACTCAGACTCTGCCTCTAGCGGCCCCCAGGTAAATTGAGTTTAAAACCCCTGCAAAGAAGGATTGCAAGAATAATGCCAAATAGTCTTGCCAGCCAGGTCTACTTCATTGGTTGAATCCTTCAGTATGGCTGCCTTGAAAGTGAAGCAAATCCTTGACGGGGCTGTAAACGGCCCTCTAGTATGTAACAGAGGTGAGGGGTGGTTGTTCAGAGCCTGATTGTGGAGGCCTGGCTGTGATGAGTTCTTCCTGAACAGCTGGGCTGAAGCAGGAGGTTGGTCTAATGCATATCCTGCCTCTGGATGATTTTGTGTCTGCTTGACTTTCCAGGAACCTGAAGATGAGATATTCCTTGCTATTGCTAAAGCTATGGAGGAAATGGTGGAAGACAGCATTGACTGTTATTGGCTCGTCAGTAGTTTTGTGAACCAGTTAAACAACAAGTACAAAGATTCCTTGCCACAGTTGGTAAGAAAAGATAGATGTTGTTTGTGGCTGTGCGTATTATCCCATAGAGAAAGGTTAGAATTGTGAGTGTAGAGCCTATATTGCAGGGGGTGGGTGATTTAACATGCAGTTGAACACACAACGTGCCACTGGAAAAAAAGTCTGTATTGTTGGAAATGGATGGATATGCAGTTGGAGAAATAGAGAAAAAATTAGACAGACTAGAGATAACTGTTTATTAAGAACTTAAATGATAGGCAGTGCCATGTAAAAAAGCGACGTGGTGGTGCTGCGGGCTAAACCGCAATAAAAAAGCGACGTGGTGGCGCTGCGGGCTAAACCGCAGAAGCCTGTGCTGCAGGGTCAGATGACCAGCAGTCGTAAGATTGGATCCACGCGACGGAGTGAGCGCCCGTCACTTGTCCCAGCTCCCACCCACCTAGCGGTTCGAAAGCATGCAAATGCAAGTAGATAAATAGGGACCACCTCAGTGGGAAGGTAACAGCGTTCCGTGTCTAAGTCGCACTGGCCACGTGACCACGGAAGATTGTCTTCGGACAAAACGCTGGCTCTATGGCTTGGAAACGGGGATGAGCACCGCCCCCTAGAGTCAAACACGACTGGACAAAAATTGTCAAGGGGAACCTTTACCTTTTTACCTTAGTACCATGTAACACAGTTTCAGTAAGAGGGATTGGTTTCCATTCTTAAATTAAAACTGCCAAAATTGGATTAAAACAATTTATTCTTTTTGGCTGGAACCTCCTCTTCTTCAAAGTAAGAGGGGTTGGTTTCCATTCTTAAATTAAAACTGCTCAAATTGGATTAAAACGATTTATTCTTTTTGGCCGGAACCTCCTCTTCTTCACCTTCATCAGGACTAGACGTTTGCAGGCCTTGTTGACTGCAGTGCAGCAGTCACTAAAACAACCACTCAGCCTGAAGATTTGTGTTTAGGTGGGAAAGTGATCCAACAAGGCATTTCTGCAGTTGGGAATTCTGCTTTTAAAAAATCTTACTCTATTGTCTGTGTTGTCCACTAGCCACTAGCCTGCTAGCAAGGACATGGGAACGTGTAAGATGTTCTACCCTTTCCGCCCTCATTCCATGTGCCCTGTTGGCCCTGGTCCTTGGCATCTGAACTTGCTGTGTCAAACCTGTAAAGCCTGAACAGGAGTTCTCTTCATGTTGACTTGACTTGCTGTGTCAAACCTGTAAAGTCTGAACAGGAGTTCTCTTCATGTTGACTTGAATGCAAATATAACTTATTTTGTACGTTCAGGACCCTGCTTTATCAAGGTGGCAAAAACTTCATCAGGCATTGAGGATGCCGTTAGACCTCCTGCTCAGGATTTGTGTGTTTAAATTCAGGCAGGTCAGAAAGAGGGCTTGTTCCATTGGTACATGGGTCTGAAGATGCCTGTTTGAATGAACACTTGTGCCCTGGTTGAGTGGAAATGAAGGTCAACAACAATGTACTAGTTGGTTTGTAGCATAGCAGACAATGAAACAAGAGCTTGGGGAAAAAGTGTTGATGCCAGGCAAGTGACTAATTAACCTAGCTCATAAAGTACAAATAATAATGGATTAGAAACTGGAGCACTGATTATTAGAGATTTTTAAAAATATTGTATTTTATTAAAATGTTTAGCAATTGTTGTATTTGAGTCTGACTTTTTAAAAACAATATCTAAAAGGACATATTTTTGCATATTTCACATTGCATTTTTTTTGGCACTTTTTTGTTTTCTTGCTATAAAGACGTATGCCTGTGAGGGTTATTTACTTCATTTGGTCTGTTTTATCACTCTTTGCATTTATGTTCCAGCCAAGACTTTTGGAACAGTACCTGAGCATTGAAGACAGCAGACTCCTGGCACACCTAAGATCATGTTCAGCAATGGGCCAGCTTCCCCACAGCCTTTGGTTTAGAAGGTGTTTTGCTGGTTGTCTACCTGAATCCAGCTTACAAAGGCGAGTGCCCATGCCCTGCACCCCCCACCACAAGTGCCAGATCAGATGAGTTCCCTGGGCAAAGAAGTGGCCTTGAGTGTCATGTTTGTGGATCTCAGATGGTTGGGTATTACAGTGATGTATTCTCTGTCTCCTGGGTCAAATTGATTATTGTAAGGAGATTTCTTCTAAACATGTCTCCGCTATGAGACACACATTGCCTTGATATTTGCTGATACTTTAACAAATTCATCATTTTCAAAATCCTTACATGTTGCTTACACTTTGAGATACAATATTGTTCAGGAAAGAAACAGGTGTCAGCCCTGATATGAATTAGAGCGATGTAAAAATTAAGATTACGATTTTATGACTTTGTGATTGACTTTTCTAGGGTTTGGGACAAAGTTATTAGTGGCTCTTGCAAAATTCTTGTCTTCGTTGCTGTTGAGATCTTATTAACCTTTAAAATGAAGTTGCTGGCCCTGAATAGTGCAGAAAAAATTGAACAGTTTTTGGAAAATGTGAGTACTATTTTACATTTTAATCCTCAAAAGGCACTACAGATTATTTAAATTCAATGGGATTTTTAAAGAGGAAGGTGGCTAAAAGCAATAAGTAAATATGGTTTTGTCCAATTATCGTTTGCTGCAGTTGAAAGGTAGCCATGGTTCAGTTCAGAATTGGACCAAACTGTGGTCTGTGCTGTTTACCATAATATTTCATCTAAACCATCTTTTAAGGGTCCAGATATAAGGCAGTTTCCCAGTGATTTATGAATCCAAACGTAAAAGCAAACCATATTCAAGACAAAGAGTGGATTGCAAACCAGCTTCATTATCTTGGTTTGATGTCTTTTGTAGTGAAAGGTTGTCTGTATTCAGTATCAGCTAGCACTGCAGGACCAGAACTTCTTTTCCCCTACATCACTTTCCAGCTCCCCATGCTGCCTAAAAACAGGTCCAGAGGGTTTTCTCAGTCTGCCAGAGCTGATCCTAAGGGTGCAGGAGGAGGAGTCTGGAGTGATGAAGGGGGTTCCCACCCCTGATAGATCTAGATTCTGTTGTCCCATAGCAGAAGTCCAGTGTCAGATGCTACCCCATATTTTGTGAGCTAAGACAAGTTTGGACATTTAGGAGAATAGTCAAAGTTTGATTTCATTTCTGAAGGCTGGCCGGAGAGTCGTCTTAGCCACATTCAAACTCCCTTCTAATTTCCCTCTGCATGGTTGTAAAAATGTCATTTTTAGGAAGGTCTCTGGGCAATAAGCAATTGCACTCTTTTTAAAAAGTGGCTTTAATTATTATGATTACATTATTTATGGTTGCTTTTTAATGTTTTCTCTCTCTCTTGTTGTAGTTCTTCCTGGTTGCTTTAGTGCAATTTATTTTTGTCAGTCTTTAAAAGAAATGTATTGTTGTTGTTCTAAGTTACATTGTGAGGTGCCTTGGACTTGCTAATGAAAGGGCAGGAAAGAATAGATTTGGCCAGTACGTTTTAAACACCACTCAGCAGTAGCCTACACTTCTGGATCAACTTAAATCAGTTTTCAGGCAACAGTGCAATATTTTTACCTATGTGTACGAGTTGGGGTTGATGGGAAACTGAAGAAACAAAACAGCAAAACAGTTTGGTAACTGTGGACCTGTTTAGATTTCCACGTGCATCCTATTGCTACTGTGGGCTTCCTTTTGTGGGCAAGCATCACTGGAGATGGAAACTCCAAATGCCAAATTGTCTGTGTCAGGGAAACTGTTCCTTCATTGTAAGTGGTTCTCAACTTTGGGTCCCCAGATGTTCTGGGACCGCAACTCCCAGACATGCTGGCCAGCACAGCTTGCAGTAAAGGCTTCTGGGAGTTTTAGTCCAAGAACATCTAAGGATTCAAGGTTGAGAACCACTGTTATAAATGAATGACTAGAAGGACTCTTGTGTGTAGATGAAGCCCTTATTTCCTTGAGGAATTAATAGAGAGAGTTGCTGTGATTAACAAGCCCCTGAGAGTTCAGTGTCTGGACTACAACTTCTAAAATCTAAAATTATTAAAGCAACTGAGTAACACCAACTATCTGTTTTTATTTTTGTAGATCCCTCAAGATAACACGGATGCGATTGTGAGCAAAGCTATTGAACTGTGGCACAAACATTGTGGGATGCCAGCTCACTCAATCTGAGACTGAACTCCACCTGGAATTTTAGATTTTTTTTAATTTTTATTTTTATTCTTTCCCCCATCTCTCCTGATCTCAAAGTATCCAATTAAAATTATTAAAATACTGGGGACACAGTGGTGGTAATTGATTGAGTTGTTTTTTTTAAATTTCCAAAGTGCTCAAAGTGCATAAATGCATATAGAAGGTAATGATTTTAATTCACTTGAATGTTTGTGATTCTGTATTTTCTATTAAATCTATTTGCATTGGTTGGTTTTAGTTGCAGGTTTATTTCTGATGGCTTTTCTTGGTGAGGCTGACTAGAAAATGGAGGACACGGAAGTGACGTATCTGAAGGAGACGTTTTGTTCGTAGGCATAACGATTTAGCTGAGAAACAGGCAGAACAGAGACACATGGATAAGCTTGCTGGCACTAAAATGGCTTAAATGCAAGAACTCTGGTTTAATAAAGTTGTGCATCTGAACAAGCCGTGTTTTGCCCCATCAAGCAACCAGTCTCTAAATTTTCAGCCTATGTTGTGGATGAGAAATTAGCAATTAACCCTAACCTGAACCCAGTCCCCAAGGGTTTTGATCAACTAGTGTAAGGATTCTCTTTCTCACTTAAACATAAACTGAAACACTGCTCATTCCCATAGGCAGGACAAAGCAAACAGGAATGAGTATCCAGGCAGATGTAGAAGTAATTCTACTGACATTTCTTGCCCTTTATGTTAGGGCAGAAAGGGTGAAAATACTGTTTGTATATCTTTTAGTTTGCACATGGGTGAACTGCTAATGGGTAAAATACCAAATGCAGAGGGTTCTCAATGTTTTGAGCCACTGTAACTGTGACCCATCAATAGCTTTATTCTCCATGAATTTGTCTTTATGACAGCAGCCTTGGTGGCCATCACTTCAATTGATGGCAGTAAAACCTATAGTTTAATTCAGTGGTTCTCAGTCTTGGGTCCCCAAATGTTCTTGGACTATAACTTCCCCAAATCCTGGCCAGTACAGCTAGTGGTGAAGGCTTCTGGGAGTTTTAGTCCAAGAACCTCTGGGGATGGCAGGTTCAGTGCCACTGATTTAAATGAACCCTTTATAAAAAGCTGCTTCCTTTTGTTTCTTTTAAACTTCCCACTGTTCAGTTTTCTTGGGTGGCCCTAGTTTCTTTTATCATGAGAAAGGGGAAAAAACAAACTTTCTGGCCATTTTCTCATACAGGCATAATCCTATATACTTCTCTCATCTCCCACTTACAATGTTTCTAAGCTGGAACCAAACACCAAACTTTATATCCTTCCCTTGAAAGACTACCGGGTTTTCCCAAAAATAAGACAGGGTCTTATATTAATTTTTGCTCCAAAAAACGCAGTAGGGCTTATTTTCAGGGGAATGTTATTTTTAAAATACAACAATCTACATTTATTCAAATACAGTCCTGTCATCTGGTTGTTGCACAATGGTGGAGGGCGGGGTTTCACTTAACTAGGGCTTATTTTGGGGTTAGGGCTTATATATTACGAGCATCCTGAAAAATCATACTAAGGCTTATTTTCAGGTTAGGTCTTATTTTCGGGGAAACAGTACTGTGCCATTCCTCTCATCAGGTTTCTAGAGTTTTCTGTTGCTCCACAGTGATGGGGAGACTCTGTCACAGGAGATCAGTGTGGCTTTGGCCTTGATTACAGTCTGATATTCTGAGAAAAATATTTGTTCTGGCAGGTTTGGACCTGGTACATCTGTTTCTCTTGCTTTCCAAAATGGCTTTGTCCACTGCTCTTCTTTCTGTGCTCATTAGTTCTGATTTTTTTCTTAACTGCCTTTTGGCACTAGCCTGTTTGGCCGGGGGCAAGCTGCAAGTCCCAGAGAGCCCCCCCCCAGAAGAAAGGAATGGTAAACTATCTGAGTACTCTACACCTAGAAAAGAACCCTGGAAAGGGTCAACCTGACAGCTTCCTCTTTCTCGTTATTTTAGCATGAGTGCTGTGGAAAGGCAGAATTGAAATAAATGAAAAACAATTGATAAAAGGAGAAAAAAAGCCCTTAGTCAACATTTCATTCCTTCTTCTTGCTCACACCATTTTCTTGTTCTTGTCAAACTGAAGGGGACAAACGTATACCTGAAAAGGTCTCAAGGGAGCTCATTTTTCTTATTCATGCTACCTCTGTAGAATATGGTCTGGATCATCATTAGCCTTCTCTTTTCTCAGTTTTTGAAACACTCACCCCACTTATTTTAGTCATCTGCATTTCAACTCTTTTCCGTCTCTCCTTGTCTTCATTTTGCTTGCAGTCAGGACATTAGTATCTCTATGCTGTACCATGTTGGAGTAGTAAACTAGTGCCCCCCCCCAGCTTTTTGGGACTATAGCTCCCATAGTACCTAACCATTGGCTTGTTTGTTGGTGGTTGACATTGATCTCCCAAACATTTGGATGCCCTTAGGTTGCTTGTCTCTGGTATGATAAAGAGAATGTGAGCATTATGGTTTTGGTGCTGTAATTGATTCTGATCAGTTAGCCAGCCACACGAACTGCCTGATTTAGATGATGCTAGCAGAACGCTGTCCAGCAATTCAGCTTTAGGAAAGAGAGAATTTATTTTAATTTGCAACACTGTCAAAGTGCTGTTGAGTGTACGTGTATTCCCTCCAATGTGCCTGAACCGCCAATTACTTCATGATTAAGGCAAAATTAAGCATGTGGTCTATGGAAGCTTCTGTGAAATGAATCTGTATCTCATTTTTATTTTTGGATGGCAAGGTGCTTTAGTTTCTTCAATCAATGGTGCTGATTAGTGTAGGAGTGCTTAGTGTCACACACATGAATCAATGTTTAAAGTCAAGACGTCAGACTATTAAAACCCAGAATCTTTCTTTTGTGACTCATTTGTGCTACTTGAATTTGCTAGGATGAGACAAATGGGCTACACTTCACTTCTCACATGAACAACAGCAATTTTGGATCAGTGTATTAAATGCTGATAGCAGCTTTCAGCTTTGTCCAGAAGTCAATCAAACAGTGCCATTTAAATGTCAGTGGAAAGTTCATCTGTAATCACCCGGTTGTACATACAAAGAATGTGATTCCATTCTTCACAAAAGAGCATTTTCTTTTGTGGAGTGTGTTATTATTAATCCATTGTGTGGCATGATCTTTAAGCAATAGCTCTTCTGTCTGTGGTAGAAGAGAGAAAGAGTTTTTGGTGGAAACTAGTTTCGAAAATCAGTGCAATTTTGGGTTTCTCTACATGTATCAGAACTGAACGTGAGATGCCCTAAAATGGAAGAGAATGGAAATAGGCAAAATACAGCAAGCCATTTGTAAAGAGTACAGCCGAGTCTAAAATAGGCAAGATACTGTACAGTAAGCCATTTGTAAAGAGTACAGCCGAGTCTCTGAGGTTAATGAAAGTTTTTAATTCTTTTCCCATTCTGCTCCCCAAAAAGACTGACAATCGTTTTCCACCCAGACCTGGGAAGTTAATGCTTTGGACTACCATTCTCAGAATGCCACAACCAGCATAGTAAAGGCTCATTATTTCTCTCCTCCTCCCCTTAATAAAGCCTCTCCCATCCTTTCTTTTTGACTATGGCCATGTTCACCATGGAAATTTCTAGTCCAAAAAAAGAATGAGCCTGTTGGTTCCAATCCCCTGATTTATGTGATTGAGGCCTTCTCAGCCGGCCTTCTGGTTGTGAAGATGTCTCCAGCAGATTCATAGATTGGAGATGGTGCCTTTGAAAACTCTGGGGCTACCCGAGGTTCTTGCACCCATTATTTTGATGTAAAGGACAGATCTGCACTTGCTCAAGTTGGGTGATGGTCTATAAGGCACACCCACATCCCTGTTTCCTGAGTGCCACTCAGCTTTTGGCACTGGCAGCAGCAAATAGAATCTTGCAATGTGGGAAATTTCTCATCCATTGAAAAAATTGTCCAGACGTGGGTGATTTTTTTTTAGCTCACAGAGAAGGGCAAAAGGAGCAGCCCTTTTTTCATCAGCTGCAGTACTAGCAAAAAAAGAGGGGGGGTTCTTCACAACAAAGCCCCTTAGCTAGTATCCTGCTCATAAGGAATTGCGGCCAGAAGACCGGGTTCTTCCTCTGGTTCCCCCTGCTCCACCACTTGTGCAAAGGAAATCTAGGAAGTCCTTGTTTTCAATGGGCTGGTCTCTAACAAGCTGGAGAATGCCAGGGCAAAGCAGAGTAGAGTGCCTCACTCATGGTGCCCTTAAGCTTTGCACTTACAACAGAATTCTAACCCTTGTAGTTGGCAAAAAATTATTTCTAAAAATGCATTTTCTGCAAAATATAGTTTATGATACAAATACGAAAACCAGAATCCTGCTTCCTTTTCCGGATTGCATAAGGCAACTACATGCTTTTCCCCCTCTGGCAGGCTCTGCTTAGGGCAGGCAGGCAAGCACTGACTGCAAAATCCTCTGTGTCATCTGAAGGCAGAAAATGCTGTCCATCTGCCCTTATATGAAACCTGAATAAGAACTGGGACAAATTTGTGGGGGCAAAAACAACTGTTTGCAATAAAGGCCTAAAATGTATGAAAGCGCTTGTAAAGCCCATCCAGCAGGGAGAAAACCTTTGAAATTTTTCATTCTCACCTGAAATAAGTGAAGATTTATATTTCTTCTCCAAAAACAATGCAACATTTAAAAGCCTTAATTGAGTCCCCTCCAGTCATTATTTCTCCTCCTAAATAACTTAAATGCTTTAGTTGAGAAGCTCTAGCTCCTTGATCATTTGGGCTACTCCTCTCTGTGTCCTTTGATATTCAGTTAGTGACAGTGATGTGAAATCCTACACAGTATTGCCATGGTTTTCAAATATTTTTATGTACATTTGAGAGACACTGGTTGAGTTTTTGTCAGGTTTTTTTTGTCAGTAACATATAACATAAAACTTGAGTGTTTAATGTACTAATGATGATTATGTGCCATCAAATTAATTCCAACTTATAGCAATTTTTCACTAGGATTTTCCAGCTATAATGTACTCAGAAGTGGTATACCATCTCCTTCTGGGGGGTGTTCTAGGGCTGTGCAGCTTGTTCAAGGCTACACAGACTGGCTGTTCTCTCAGGAGGCACAGTGGGGAATGAAATTTTGCTGCCAAATATCTGAACAGGCGGAGCTACTCGGCCTGCCAAGGACTGATAGCACAGCCCACAAAAACCTCCTTCCTATTTTGTCACTGAAAATTCAGACCACAGCTATGTAGACACGAACTTAGGATGTCTTGCCTCCATGTGCATCACCTTACACCACTGGCTCCCAAACGTGTTGGTATTATGCCTCCTTCCTTCTTTTTAAGAATTCCTCATATCTCCTCACTTTTCCTTTACCATCACCTTGAAACAATGATTAAATATAAAATAAACACAAAAGCTTAGCATAGATCATTTAAATAAAAAATAAGTACTTTTTTGTCTATTCTAAAGCCCAATAAAAAAACTCTCAGTCTTGCACCCCACCTTGAAATTTCTTCACACACACACATGATGTGGGTGTGAAGAAATTCCAAGGATGTGTGTGCAGGACTGCATGCGTGTATTCATATGACCTGAATCTGAGAAACAACATTTTATACTTGCACTGAACCTAATTTCCAATTTTGCTGTTATATACTCTTTTATACATCCATGCACTCACACACAAGAATGCTATCTATCCAGAAATGATGTAATGGAAACCCTAATCGCCAGAGATTATTAAATTGCAAAGAATAAGAGCACCTGCACAAGGCATATCACAACGTGGCATCACTTTGGACTACTAATAGTGTTGCCCTCTGAATAGAAAGTGTGTCTGAAAATTACGTTTAAAAATAATAAAAAATCTGTGTTCTCTGTTTATTAATTTGCATACATAAAATATTCCTTTCCTATGTTTGAAGATGTGGGGTTCTCTTCAACCAATCAGTAATGAAGAAATTATTACAATGTAGAGAATTGCCTGATGGTGTTAAAAGGAAATGCAACCGGATGAATTCCAGGGTGCTCCATTCCATATCTGTCTTTTCCCCCCGAAACAGAGTTAAGTGGCTTTTTGGCACAAAAGTCTGCTCAAACAGTAACTGATGTTTGGTTTCTCTGTGTTGAAAAATAAAGCCACTCTGATCCACCCAACTCTTATTTAGCCTCAAGAGATATGGAGAGCCACTGTTCATCATATTTCTGCAGATAAAATCCAAACTGCTAGATAGCTCAGAAGTTTAGGTATCTCCCTGAGGAACCAGAGACTGGGAGTCTGATTCCCCACTGTGTCTCCTTGACAGGGGCTGGACTACACTTCTAAGATGATGGTGATGGTGTCTCTCAAGTCAGATGATGGTTTCAGCCACCTCTTGCTCATAACTACTGTATCTTGGTGTATTTTTATTCAGCACAATGTTGCCCTCTAGCTCTCTTTATTGTTCACTTGCATTTTATTATTTGATTGAAGCACCAGATGCCATCAAGATGGGAAACTCTTGTCTTCTTCCCATTTTCTCCCACAGTAAGGTTTAAAACTCCTTACACCTCAAAGATTTCCCACCCACCCCCATCCCAAATTCAAAAATATGGAATTATGATCATTTTTGTTTTTTTAGAAAAACCCTGAAACAAAAGTTTCTTCCATTTGCATGGTACACCTCTTTCCACCATTTTGGGTCTGCTGCCACACAGATGCTAAAGATATTGAGCCTTTAAGAAAACACAGATGGTAACCTTAATGCAGCATTAACAAGGCTCAAAACACAGGGGGCTTCAAAAACAAACTTTAAGTTAAACAACCATCCAAAGCTCTCACTTAAGATGGACAAACCTTAAAGTTTTCCCACATTCAGTTTTTACAAATATCAAGTTGTTCCCACTGCAAATATGAAACAATTTGCAAATGTTGATTATTTTTTTTAAAGTACTGAAATGAAATTCTTGCCCATTCTTGTTGCATCATAAACAACAGTATGATTGGCAGAAGGCAGGAGAACCAAAACCAGAACATATTTTTTCTTTTTGATTTTTTTAAAGAAACTGCATACATCCCAGACAATTTAAATACCATGCAGTTTCAATATGTACAAAACCTCAGGATGTAGAGATTCAGTTTTAGTGTTCCATCTAGGTATTTACATTTTTTTGTTGTTGCTGCTGAATACAGCTATTATCTGTTAAATTACAATATTGGAAGATCACAGGCTTGACTGTCACCACATTCACTCCTATACAAAGACAAAACTATGTACATACACTTGACGTGGAGGGTAACTGCAAAATGCACTGGGTCCAGAAGAACTGAGATGCACAGGCGAGATGCTCATGCAAGGCCTTTCTGTTCACATAAGAACTAAGCTGGATAAAACAGGTTGTGGAAAGTAATTTGCACCCCCATTTGCCATTTTCAACAGTAACACCAGTGCCCTTTAAAATCACGGCTACCTTTTCAGTTATTGAGGGGGAGAATGTTTTGTCCACATAATAAGGGAAACTGCTGGCATGTGTGTGATAACCTTCATTTGCATGAGAATAACAGAGGCATATTGGAGTTAAGGTGCTCCTGCTGGAAAGGAGGGGGGGGGCTTCCATTTCCAAACAAAGGAAAGGTCTCCTACGCAATTCTTGTTGAACGGCAGGGAAGCAAGGCAACTAGAAAGCAGGGTTTTGCCCATTTCCATTTAATTCAGTGGGAAGGAAAAGGGTTGTATTCTTTGTGGAGTGGCATACACTCAGGGCATCTAACCATTGCAAGAGAGAAACAGAATAGCACAGGTTGCACTCCAGAAAGAACAAACATTCAGCAACCTTGAATAGTCAGCCATTTTTCATGCAAGGGCAAAGAGCATTGTTTATTCTTGCTCCCCCTTCCTTTTTTTGGCTGAGGCTGCAGTGTTTTGCCTTAAGTACTTTCAGCTTTTGTGTACAGTAGGTGCCCTGAATCTCATCTGCCAGGGATACTTCGACTATTTGATTACTGCAGCAGCAAGAGGGTGGGACTAGACCAGTGGTTCCCAACGCTGGGTCTCCAGATGCTTTTGGACTACAACTCCCAAAAATCGAGGCCAGCACAGCTAAAGGCGAAGGCTTCTGGGAGTTTTAGTCCAAAAGCACCTGGAGATCCAACATTGGGAACCACTGGATTAGACAACTCTTCAGACCATTCCAACTGAAGAATTCTGTAATTCAGGACATGTTTCATGGATAGGAGTAGAAGCAAGTCACTTTCTTGTTCCTTTTTTGCAAGGAAATCTAGGACTTGTAAATGGCACTTTTTTGAGCTGCCGCTCTCATACCTAGTAGCTATGTTGGATACAGGATTCTGGGAGTTGTAGTCCAAAAAGGAACATTTCCAAGTTGTGAATACATCCCATAGTATGCAATAGAACGTTATGGCATAGTGGATCCACCAATCTATTTCCAAATGACCCTCTTGTGTAAACAGCCCTTCCCAAAACCAGTGTACTGGCATCTTAATGTTGGGCAAAATGAGTATATACAATTATATTCCCGATCAGAGCTTGTGCATATAGATTTCTCTACACTGAGCATGATGGTGAGAAAAAATACAGAAGTCTCCCTAGAATATTTCAAAACTTACAGTGAAGAACCAGAATTAGAGCTAAGCTGTTAGATGATAGCTCATCCCACTTGGAAATTAATCTTGGCAGAAAGATGAAATAAAACTTCATCATTTCCCTCTTCAGCCAACTGTATCACTGCTTCCAGGAAAGCAGAATAGCTGATAATACTTTCTAAAAATTCCTTCTATTGAAACAATATTGTTATTATCGTTCCTAGAGTTTAGAAAAAGAGAGTGGCCAGTTTGCTCATTTTAACAATAAATACACTTTAGTAAATTTTCTTGTACAAGGGCATCTGTAAACTGCAGTATTTGGCAGTCTGCTTTGGTTTGGAGGATATGTTCTATAAACATTACTTTCAGCTTCTAAAATGTGTGTTTTAATTGGGAGGCACACAGGAGCTAAATTAACATACTGGCCCAAATCTTGTTGGGCAGGGTCCACCAGCATGATGGGAATGAAATTACTGACAAGGGCAGATAGCTGTTGATTAAAGGCTTCCTTTTGCAATTCCAGGGCAAGCACAACTGTTGCACAGTGTGTGAGCCATACATACCCTGAAACTGCAAAATAAAGCCTTTAACCAGTAGCAGTGTGCTGCCGCCTATGAAGCCATTTCTATTATGCAGACAGAGCAGGGCAACAGGATTTCAGCCATGAACGCTTTGGTGTCTTTGAAACCTGGAGGGGAAAATTTCTTTAAGCTTTTTTTTCTGCTTAACTTTAGAGAACAGACCTACGAATGCATCTGGATTAAGGCCTGACATGCTGCCCCACAACTGCCGACAAATTAAAATTACTGAAGAACAGTGACATATAAATACTGTTCAAAAATGCTCTTGGATGTTGTTGTTTTCTCTAGGCAGCTACAGGTTAAGTCCTGTGAGTTGCAGTGTCAAATATGATCTTAAGGACATTGCACATACATGAAGCTATATTATCATGCTAGTAAATGAGAACAGAATTGGAAACTTTAAAACTCCAGTTTTCAGAGTTGTAGAAGATCCCCTTTTCTCTTCATCCCAGACTTCTCTCTCCAGACTTGATAGCAGGACTACAGTTTCACCCTACTGTGTCTCCATGTCCAACAGCAAGTGGTGGTGGGGGGCTTTATGAGCTACATGCCCATCCACCTTCAGGAGGTGGTAGAAATGTGTAATCCCTTCCTCCATCTCCCACAAATCTTTCCTAGTAAGTGACCCTTCATTTAGAAACCTACTTATGTTCTAGGCTTGTTTGGATCTAATCCTTAAAATGTCATCTTACCTTCCCATCCTTGTGCTTGGAATGGATGCAAGGATCATGAGAGAGACCATTCAGTTTTGCTCTTTGTTAGTACTCTTCTGCTCAGTCTCTGTATGAAACAGTATGACTGAATTGTCATGAAGAGAACCTGGCTTGCTAGCTGTTCTGCTCTAACAGAAATACAATGCTTTTCTATAGAAACATTCCCAGAGCAAATGGACATTATTAACTCTGGGTTGGATCCAGATTCAAGACCAAGCTACACTCTGTTAAACATGCAGTGCGTGGTCAGGTATCTGGTTTTCTTACTCTAAAGTTAATGCATGCAGTAATGAGACTGCTGCAGGCTAATATCAAGTAGAGATTTTACTTATTTTTCTAACCACCCACAGAAGTGGGTATTTTAAAATAAAAAACAGATGGGTGAAGGCTTAAATGTATCTCATCCATACATGTTCATCCCAATTGGACTCTGTACCTGATTATTCTAGAGTAAGAAAAAAAAACAGCCACGAAATTGTATGCTATGAGTTTAAAACAACATAAAGTTTCACCTTTTGTCATACCTTAAGAGCGCACCCATTAAATCAATGGGCCCACAGTTGTTAGGAATGCTGATCTATGGACACGTTTGAATGCAATCCTATGCTCTCACATCAGTAAAGAAGCTTGAGTACTTAAGTTGCCATCCCCGTATTTGTTTGTTTGGAATGAGCTGCTGCAAGAGATTGAGATTTCTGGCCAAGAGAAATCACCCAATATGCTTAATGTGAATCAAGTAACCATACCGATGCCAGTGGCACTAGCCAAAGTGCTTGGAAGGACTGGATCCATAATGCTTCCCAGTGCTTAAGGGTAACTCAATTAGTTAGGAGAACAGCCAATATTTTAAAAACAGAAAAACAGCAATCCCAGCTCTAGCTTTTTGCCAAATGCTTTGGTTCTCAGTATGATGCTGAGCCAGTGATAACAGCACATTTTGTTATTTACAACAGGTAGTATTCTATGTAACAGAAATCCCTGCTATTAAAAAAAAATCATGCATATAAAGTAAAATTGGTCAACCATCACCTGGAGCTCATTTCTTCTCTACCTCGCACTTCCCAGGAGCCTTCATCAAGCTGGTGCCCTCCAGATGTATCCAACTATAGCTCCAGAGTTGCTTGGGTTTTTATGGGGAGCGGTAGTGTCCAGCACATCTGGAGAGCACATGCCTGGCAGAATCATGGCGTCTGTGCAGAAGCTGGTGTCATATCAGCAAGGCTGTTATGCCATCAACTTCCACACAGGGAAAAATGAGACTATGGACCCAAGCATGGTAGAAGGCATCCTAACCTGCTCCATTTGTTGAAGTATGATTGTTACCAAATATCCCTGTATCTGTAATCATTTCAAAATTCGCTTTCTCCAACAAAGGAGCCAGCTGAATGAAAGAGATGGATGACAAAGGGTGACAGCCAGCCAGCCAGCCAAGAAATCCTCCAGGGATGATTCTTGGAAAATGTCAAAGATAAGTAAGTCCTCAGGGTGGGTCTTCCCCTGCCTCCATCTTTCTAAGGTGCTCTCAAACAGAAAGGAGTGTTTGTTAGAAATGTTGGTCTAGAAGGATGATAGGCCTTGGTCAAGCTTTTGTCCAGTACATCTATGTCTAAGCCAACACCAAGGGCCTCGGCTTTCTTTGGAGTCCAAGGAGAAATGCTTGACAGGAATTAACAGCTGACTGGAGAAAGACAATATGCGTGGATGGCTGGTTTTGGAGGAATATTGAAGGAGGTGGAATCCATACAACAAGGTTTTAGCCATAAGTGTCAACTGTTGGCACAAGTCTTGCCAACAGCGGTTTCTGTTGTTGAACTTTGTGCCAACCGGTCTTACGCTGCAGTTCTACCCAGCCGAGGAAAACACAGTTTCTCTTCACGTTTTCGCTTATTTTAAAAAGGCAGTTCAAAAGATTTACATTTTATGTAACAGAGAAATGAACAACACCAGCACTTGTGGTTCTTTTCAGTTAGGTTTTGAAGACGGTGGAGCACCCCATTTTTATGGCCTGTGAAATCTGAAATGAAAAGGAAAAAAATTGAGGCAGCAGAGACAGTAATCTGATTATCATCAACAGAAACTTACTGTATTTCTTGCATGTAGTCAGCAAAACAGATTCGGCAAAACCCTGAGACATAACTGCTGAATCCACAGGAAGCTGTAGTTCAAAACAGTCTAACAGTCTAATATAAGAAGCATTTAATGTGACGCTTCACTGCTCTGTTTGCTTCTATGAAAAGGGTACAAAGCACTGTATGAATTCAATGGCTAAATTTGGATTAAGAAGTGGCAGGGCTACATATAAGATTTACGCTTGTGGTGCTTATAATAGAAACCACACTACTCATGCCATCAGTTAGAAACTGACTTAAAGTGGCCCCAATGCGGTAAGTGAGCTGTTTAATCACCAGTTCCACTCCCCAATGAGTTCCCACAGCTGAGTCGTGACCTGAGCCCAGGTATCTCAAGTCCTAGTCTGTCACTCTATCCACTACCTTGGATATCACTCAGTACTCATTCAGCACACCGATTACTGTTAGCCACAATTTAAAAACCACCATCACCACAAACCCTGCTCACCTTGTTAAATGCCTGCTTAATTCATGAACTTCCATTTCAGTGCTTTTAAATTCATTGAGCTCTTTGCGAATTGCTGCCTGCAAATTACAAGAAAAACAGTTTTAGAACAGCTTTAATATATGCTAAGTCTTTGCACATCAACTCAAGAGTGTGAAAGGAGTTTTTTTTTAATTGAAAGGGAAAATCTTGCCTGACATGAAACAGCAAATACCAACCTGCCTCAGCTGGCTCTTTTTGTGAGTACTGCCAACTTGTCTGTCTCCCAAGAAGTAATAAAGTATATTTTCAAATAGGAACAGGCGCATTGCTAACTGAGGGAAGACAAGCACGCAACATCCAGAACAGGACACACAACTTCTTCTAGCAAACAAACGGGGAGGGAGTTATCCTATGTCACCAGGGCATTATCTCCAGCGCTCCTTATGGGAGGCCACAGGGGCCCTGATAGAGGTGTACAAAGGTATCCATGATGTGGAGGAAGTGGACAGGGAGAACCTTTACTCCCTCTCATGATCTGGAATCAAGGACTAACCTCACCTCTGCCTTGGCCATTTCTTATTTCCCTTGTCTCTGCTGCTTCATCCTCCCTCTGGCACCTTTCTTCCCTCTCTCCCTCTGGCTCCATCACTGCTGTTTTCCTTGCATCATATGTGGAAAGGCTCTGCACAGAGACCCACCAAGCATGCGTCTCTCCACACAGCCAGGCACGCTGGGTGTGGAGGACCCCTTAGAGACAGGTGGTGTTTGTGGGCTGCTGAGGGAAACTGCCTCTGCCAAGGCACAGAGGATATCCTTAGACAGCCCATCAACACAGCCTGGTTCTGAGAAGACCTCTCAGAGCCTGGCTGGTAGCAAAGAGATGGTCCTTAAGATCTGAGCAGAGCAGCAGCATCAGCAGCAGCTCTTTGGAGCAGCAGGCGTGTATGGGAGGAAGGGTTAGCACTGCCACCCTGCCAACCTGTTACTGACGGTGGCCGTCTCACTTTACATAATGGCATGGCTACTTTTGTCAGAAATTGATAATGACAGCCTACTGAGACAGCTGTAAAAGGCAACTGGATAAATTAAGGGAGGATGGGGCTGCCAGTTACTGCTAGTCCTGATGGAGATATATCCCATGCACTGCCAAAAGCACTATGCCTCTACATAACTGTTATTGGGCAGCTTGAGCTGGAGTTGAGACATATTCTCATGTGTGGCCTGTGGTCTTCCCATAGGCATCTGGTTGGCAGCTGCAGTAGAAGAAGGCAGCAGGATCGAATAGGCCTTTTATTGCCCCCTTCAGCATTCTTTTGGCATTATTATATTCAGCATTGTCTCTTTGATGATTGAACCATGCCAAGGGAATGATTTAGCCTATGTTGAGTATTCTAAGGTCCCATCAATTTTAATGGTAGAGAATGAAGCACATGCTTTCTCCTCCCACTGAATCAACAGTAATTAAAAGGCTGCTTTGTGTCCAGATATGCCAAATCCAACTCTCTATGGAGCTGAATGACCATTTTAAAGAACTACAGAAGCAGTTTGAATGAAGCAAATCTTCCCATGGACACACATTTGGAAGGCTTTTGAAACAATGCCATTTTCCCTTCTCCACCCCATGCCTATGATTGCCATCAGCTGTGCTATCTGGGGAATACTAGCAGTTGAAAACCACCACCACCCATTAACTTTTCTGGACAGTACACATTATGAAAAGTGACCCACACTCAACTCTTTTGTATCATTTATTTCAATGTTATCTATTTCACTTTTCTATCATGTCATGTACCCGTCTTTCTGCAGCCTAGGTCTTCACAGCTGGACGTGGTATGCCAAAGAACTTCAAGATTATTCTCTCATGAACTTTGCCTACTTACTTTATCAGCAGCCGTGAGCCGTGTCCACGGTTTATCTGCCCGCCTGTCATAGTCCTGAGCATCTGCCACTTCCACGTAATCGCTAAAGCGGATAAGAATTTTCCTCTCACGCAGCTCTTCCACTGTAGGCCTTTGACTGAGCTGTAGAAGTAAAGAGGAAATATTACTTTTAGGCATCAAGTACATTTTTTAAGGTGTACATGGTCTAGTTGGTGGAATATTCATCACTGCTTCTGCCATTTTAATAGATGGATGTTTATATCATGTGATGTGTGGCCATGAAGAGACATCTCCTACATTAACAAGAAATTTGTTATTTTACAACATCGGAGCATCACAGACCAGAATATGTGATTTATTTATTTTGAACTGCACACTGACCACTGATCCGTTGCAATTCTAGTGATGAGGGAGCTCAGTAAGAACACACTGATACATTACTTTCCTGGAGACAGCATCATGGATGTGTGGTGCGATCTTTAGAAAAGCCTCTCAAGAAACATCTTTGCTCAGTTTTTTAAAAGCAGAGAAAAAGTACTTGTATGGTGAGATTTCAGGGATGTCAAAAACACTTACTGTTGCTTCATTTGCATGTCTGATTGCTGAGACACACATCTCTAAGGAAATCCCATTCTACTGCATGCATGGCTGAGTAGATTAATATAATCTAAACCTCACTTTCAAGTGTCCCTGTTTAGCTGAATCCAGCCTAATTTCATTGCTTACCCTGTTTCCCTGAAAATAAGACCTAACCTGAAAATAAGCCCTAGTATGATTTTTTAGGATACTTGTAATATAAGCCCTACCCCCAAATTAAGACCTAGTTAAGTGAAAACCCGCCCTCCACCATTGTGCAGCAACCAGAAGAAGATGACGTGACTGTATTTGAATAAACGTAGATTGTACATGAAAAAAATAACGCATCCCCTGAAAATGAGCCCTAATGCATTTTTTGGAACAAAAATTAATATAAGACCCTGTCATTTTGGGGCAAACAGGGTAGTTGCACTTATTGTACTTTTTTGTTCAGTCATTTTCCTGCTCCTGGTAACCTACTACTTCTCATTTTTCCATAGTTCTACTCCTTTCTATTCTCTTTTCCCAGACTTTGTCCAGAACTGCTGGATAGCTCACTGGTTTAAGCATCTGGCTGCAGAACCAGAGATTGGGACTTCGATTCTCCACTGTGTCTCCTTGACAAGGGCTGGGAAGCTCTGCAGTTCTCAGATGATTATTATTATTCAAAAACACCTGGTACAGTTAATCAAAATGATAAAAATATTGGCTGGTATTGTATAACGCATACATGTTTTGACCAAAAGCTTAAGTAGCTGTTAAATATTGAAGCAGTATGTATGCTGCTCCTAATATTGTTGTTTTTTTGTAGCTCTGATGGTGTGATTTCTGAGATCTGCAACTGCTTATAATACCATGTGAAATATCTTGATATTGTTCCCAAAGCCCCAATGAGTACGGGGAGCACTGAAGTGTGTTTCATGCAAAAACGAGATGTTTCGATTGCCAGATCTTTGTGTTTTACTGTTTTTTCCAATTCTCTATTTTTGAATCTGGCATCTCCTGGAATTGCAATGTCAATGACCCAGACATTTCTTCATTCTATTATTACTATGTCTGTTATGTTATGTTCAAGGTGAAATACCACAAGATCTTGATGTTGTCATTTTCTGACACCTTCTCTGTCTGGTGATCCCATGGGATTTTAGGAGCTGGAAAGTTATATTTTTTGCATAATGACCAGTGAACTAATTTTTCCACCATGTGACATGGTGATTCCCTTTATAGAATACAATAACCTGTTTGTGTAGTCTTTGCACATTCACAGATGAGGTGTGACAAAAGTTTCATTTTTTTCTTGGCAGAGTCAACATATGCTGCTAGCACTAATTCCTAGGATCTTAGCTTTCATCACATTGGTTTGGAATGCTTGTCCTTGTGCAGCAAAAATCAAGACTTTTCTTTCTTTCTTAAGGGTCCCCAGCTGAATTATGATCATGCTTTCCATCAATATTTCTCAGGTGTTGTCCATGTAATGGTTTATTTTTCCAGCTGTTTAATTTATTTTCAAGTTGTTATTTCTTATACTGATCCTTTGTTTCTGTAGTTTTCAAAATATTCTCCATTGTCATTCCCATAAGTAATTTTTCTCTGCTTGTACTGAGATAATCATTTAGGCCTCTTTTTTCCTCCTCTACATCCTGTATTTATCTACAGAAGTACAGTTTTCAAATCAAGGGAAGTAACAGTACCATTCTATTTTGCATTGGGCAGACATCACTTGGAATACTGTGCCCAGTTCTATGCACCACAGTTTAAAAAAAGATATCAAGAAGTTGGAATGTATGCAGAAAAAAGTGACCAGGATGATAAAGGGTTTGGAAACTAAGCTCTACAAGGAATAGTCTAGGGAGTTGGACATGTCTAGTCTTGTGTAGAGAAATCTGAGAGTCAATATGATAGCCATCTTCAAATGTGGAAGATTGGGCAAGCATGTTTTCTGCAGTTCCAGAAGGTAGGATGAAAAGTAATGGATTTAATTTATAGGAAGGAGATTTTGATTGGACATTAGGAAGAACTTCCTTACAGTAAGAGCTATTCAAGACTGCAGTGAACTAACTTGTAAGGTAGTGGATCCTCCAGAGGTTGAATGAATGCTTAAGGTAGGAATTTTCTCTAGGGGGAGGGTTTGGACTCAATGACCTCTGCTGTCGTTTCTAGCCCTTTTCTTCAATATTAATACTGGCCAATAGAAGGAATCAAAGAGTATTTACTAGTATTTTCCTAGCTAACTCGCAACTTCAGCACGACAAACAAGTTAATAATGGGTAATGCAAATAACTGCATGCATCATCAAAGCAATGATAGCAATAAAGGCAACATAGCTACTAAGAAGTAATGAGTGATACAATGATCTCCTTTTAAAATGAAATATTCCACATATTGGTTCAGATCTCATTTTCCTTCTTCTCTTCCTCAAAGTTGACCTCAAGTAAATCATGATTTCTAAGTTCTGACCCCCCACACTAAAAACCCTATGCATTTTTGTACTGTATAATGGTAGGAAGCAAAATATTTTCAAATATCTTCATACTTCTATAACTGAGTGTATATGAAGTTGTCCTATATCATAGCTTCAAAATATAGGTGACATGGTGATTCCCTTTATAGAATACAAGCTCACTTTGAAGTGTAGACATCACTCAGCTACAAAGAGTACATTTCCGTCTTTATAGCTGCCACCACAGTAGTTTAAGATTTACTTTACATGAAATTCTAAATCAAATAAGCAGCAAATCCCCTGAAAACCTGACATTAAATATCAAACACAGGACTAAAAGCTATAGTATTCAAAGGTAAATTTGATGCTCCATCCTTTACTTGGTAAACATGCTTTCCTCTGCCACTCCACACAAATTAAGGATGAAGTGAGTTATCATTGAGTTCAAAGCTTTTGACTGTTTACCACAAACTGTGGATACTATTTTAAGAATTTTGCATGATTAAAAAAAACACAACACTCTATTTATAACTTTGTGATGATAAGTGATCAAAGTATGAAAGCCTGTAAGCCAAACATAGACTTTAAAAAGCACTGATGTAAGCAAGTCACTTTTCACTTCTCCAGCAAATCCAGTGCTTCAGGGAATGAAAGAAAAATGGCACCCAGTATAGAATGACAGAATACTCCTGCGTAACTTTGGAGCCAAGACTGGTAGTTTTACAGCCTGCAGACATATACCCTATTTGTCCTTCCTTCTACCTGAAGAGGCGACTCATCCAGGGGACTCAACAATCATGAGTCGCAGAATGAATTTTTCAAGTTAAGATAATTGTTAATGTTTACTTGCTTTTAATTATTCAATTGTTTTTAATCAGCATATAGTTTAATTATTTTTGATGTTTAACTTATTACATTTAAAAAAAAAGAAATATATATTGTGAGCTTCCTTGAATCCCCTTATCGGGAGAAAGGCATCCTATAAATAAAACAAATAAATAAAAAATTGTGCATAATAACAATAAGGATTTCAAGCAACTTCAAGGTATCACTAATGACTGGGAAAATGCTAGTAGCCCCATGTCTTTGAAAAGAAAAAAGAGGAGAGAGAGTTTGCTTTTCAGAAAATGCGGCTGGCTTTCTGCTCAGTGCTTTCCTCCGTTTGTTTGACGCCTGATTGTCTTTACAGCTTGTGTATGTAGGAAATTTAATATGTACTTGTTAATTTATGCTTTATGGTAGGATTGGAAAAAAAAGTGGAATTATCCTAGGAAAAATAAAGATACAGTGTGGACCAACATTTTTTTAACCGTCTCTTTCAAAGTCACTGCTCTGAGAAGAGACCCTTGAACTGTAATGTCATTGTGTCATGTACTCATGTCAAAAGTCCCTTGGACGTCGCCTGGACATTCAGGAATTCTATAAGAATGAATATGTTTTCTTTAATAATCTTCACTCATTTCTTCTCTTTCTTTTTCACTGATACCAACCCTTTAGTTGTTTATTTGTGTGTGAATATTTGTCCCTTCACTCAGGCTAACTATCTCTGCATAGTCAGCCCTTGGCTACTGAATGCAGCACCACTAAGCCTGAACAGAACAGCAGTTGATGGGCAAGTTTCAGTTTTTGCAGCTTGATGATGTGGACAGGATCCTTGGACCAGTGAAGGCTGCCACTTGTCTGCTAGACCCTTGCCCATCCTGGCTGCTAAAAGCTGCCAGAAAGGGACTGGTCGAGTGGGACCAAGGGGTAGTGAATGTCTCCTTGCAGCAGGGTAGGATCCCAACTTGCTTGAAGGAGGCCATAGTAAGACCATTATTGAAAAAGCCCACCTTGTACCCCACAGTGCTGGATAATTACTAGCTAGTCTCTATTATCCCATTCTTGGGCAAAGTGCTGGAGCAGATTCTGGTTTCTCAGCTCCAGGGACTCCTGGATGAGACACATTATCTAGATCCATTTCAGTCTGGCTTCAGGCCTGGTTATGGGAAAGAGACTGCTTTGGTCGACTTGGTGGATAACCTATACTGGGAACAGGACAGGGGGAGTGTGTCCCTGTTGGTTCTGCTGGACCTCTCAGCGGCTTGAAATACCATTGACCATCATATCCTTATCTGTCTCTCTG